AAAACACTAAATCGATTATTTTGGTCTATGTTTTTAGTGAAAATATCGATAATTTCTCAGCGTAAAAAGACGACATAGACCAAAATAATCGATTTAGTGTTTTACCATGGCCCGCAAGCTGATCAGCGCCTGACGTTGATCTTCAAAATGTTAAAAAGCAGAACTGCACGTAAACGTGACGTATCTGATTAGGTGCACAAATCACTATATATCGAAGACTGCTTTAGTGTTTGTCGTCTTTTTACGCTGAGAAATTATCGATATTTTCACTAAAAACAAACACTAAAGCAGTCTCATAGGATAGAAATACATATTACTCGACTAAGTTATTGATCCTAGTTTCGATTATAAAGAAATGAAGAAAAACACATAACTTTCGAAAGTAAATGGAACACCAATTCTTTTAAGCTTTTAATCAGGGTGGTATATGCTGACTATGGGCAAAATATCATTGGGAAATATTTTAACAGTGACGCTGTTCTCTAGTGAGATGATTGTTTACGACATAAGCCTTCTTAAATAATCATTTTAAACATATTTGTATACTCGGAATTTTGAAACTCCAACTTTCATTTTTTGCTCCCTGCAATTTTTTTCAAACCTGAGCTTTTTCTCAAAGTCTGCGCCCAAAACTGCTAAGAATATGTAATTGGATACGCTGAGTACCACTTATGTTATAAGTGCAGCTTTACATTTATATCATAAATTTACCTTAGTAAGTTTCTCACTGTTTGTTTTGGCTTATGGTGATAATAACATAATAATAAGCATGATAGTGTAGAATAATAATATATTAAAACTTCCGGAGGGGGGCGGTATATGGAGTTTTGGAGTAGATCTTCGGGAACCAGTCTAGGGACCAATCTTAAAATCCAAAATGGAGAGATTTTGGTCTGACTGTTTATTCTTATTGTCCGACGTCGTAAACGATGCACATATCAGTTCAAAGAACATTCTCAAGCTTCTGTTTGTTCTATGTTTCCTTCTGACTTTCTTAGTTTTGTTTGTTTCTTATTCTGGGTTATTGCGAATACTCTTAAAACTGTACGTAAGAATGGTGTTTTCTCATTGAATGTAAGTGTTTTTTTATAACGTCAGATCCATTAGTCTATAAATATTTTTTAAATTTTGGTTGCGCTCAAGAGAACGCAAAAGTTTTATCGGAGTTTTTTTCATGTTCACTCGTCGTAAAACCATCGATGATAAGGTGTATCATCCGCGTACCACCTCCACACCACACATAGATCTGGTTTTGGAGGTACCCATCTTTTTACCAGATCACCATAGTTCAGCCTTCTCGGTAATTCGTGAATATTTGCATTTAATCCGCCCTAATCTCATGTCTCTTACACCAATCCTTGACTCATTGGAGTTTGTTTGACTACTTTTTTATCACAAGTTCGTCGATGAATCTTTACACCTCGTTGATTTTTACACACTTGACCACAATTGGGACAGATATTTGTGACCACTCCGGTCGACATTGGTGGAGTTTGACTAGTTACGGTGCTGGTTGTGTTATCTTGACTACTTCGAGCAAGCTCTTCTGCTCGCCGCCGATTTGCTAGTTCCTTATATTCATGTACAAGTTTTTGGATATTCGAATGTACGGGTTTAATTTGCACGTATTTGTTGATAATCTGACGCCACTTGTCCTTATCCATCGTTTCTCTCCGCCAATTCTTGATTCCGAATTTGGCAATATCATCTGCGATTTTATCTTCCCATCGTTTCCTTACGCCTGCATTCTGAGGTCTTCGAGCATCGGGAAAATACGAAAACATTACTTTCTTTAATAATTTCGGCTTTTTTTCCACATCTTCCATTCTGTTTACGTGGCCAAACCACCTTAACCGATTTCTTCTCATTATGTTTTCCAAATTTGGTTGACCACTCAGTTCCAAAAGTTTTTCATTGGATATTCGATCGCCTAATGTTACGCCAACTAATGCTCTTAGACAAGCCATTGTTTTCCCATTTTTTTGATCTTCACCCTACACCGGTTTCCGGTATGGGTATGTTCTTCTTCTTCTTCTTCTAGTCTATAAATAAAGATAGAGAATATCGTTATTGTAGGTATATACGATATAACAGTTCTATATCCAAAAATGAGTCACACAAAGTGTAGTTAAGTAAAAGGTTACTTTCAATTTGAAAAATAGTTATCTGTTCTGATTAATGAAAGCTAAGAAAAAATGGGACATTCACTGATATACTCTGCATGAAAAAGTGAATAAAGAAAGAAAAACAGATTATTAACTGCAAAATTTTGGAAAAAGTAGAAAACTTTAGTTTTTTTGAATTTTTTTACCGAACCGCGTCTTCGGTGCTCCTCTTCAGACTGCCGCTGGCCCAAAGATTTTTGTTTTAACCTCGGTCTATTTATCATGTTAGGTTAGCTCGACTTTAATGCAATTTTAACATAATTTATTCGGATCTATAAAAAGGACATCTGATCAATTTCACATCGTTCCTTTTCATTGTTATTTCTTTTTGTTCCTAACACTATTCACTTACTTTCTCATTCATATTCCTTTTTGACAACAACCAAACTTCAATAATGAATCTATTAACAATTTTTATGTTTCTAATGGTTTTGAAATATAGTGAGAGCAAAATGAATTCGTGCGTACAAACGTTTGGTAATAGAACGTATGATTTAAATCTTTTAAGTAGATTTGTATTGAACGGTACCGATACGACTCGCGGTAATAGATTTTGGTTCGCACCATGTAACTCTCTTCCAAAAGCAGTGTGTGGTTATGAAGTTTCAGGGGCAATGAGTTGTGAACTAGATAATAGAAATGAATTTGATGAATTTGTTTCCTATATGGATGGTTACAGAACACCGAATGCAACATATAGAGAAAATCCAGATGGTCCTGGTACAGGTGTTATTATGATAACACAAAATTGAGACGCATGTAGTTCGCATCAATGGTGTGCAAAACGTACGATGATCGCTCGATTTATTTGTGATCCAACAATTGAAGTACCAACAACAATGATTGTTACAGAAAATCCAATGTGTACACATAACTTTATGATTCATGCACTGGATGCGTGTTCTTTGTAGGATTAATTAATTAAGTGCATTATTAACCTTCAATAAAAAAAATAGCAATAAAATGTTTTTTCTCTAACTTGTTCAGAAATTTTCTAGTAATTCAGATAAGTAAATTCACATCTATGACACAGACAAATGACTTTTTTCTTTAATTTGATGTACAAGCTACTAAGGGATGTCATCAAAAATTAGTATTGGTGAAATATTGAGCAGTGAATATGTTCGAGATTTTAATACACTGCTGTTCAGTCTGCGTAAAACAGAATGTTAAGCTATTTCACATAATAGAAAAGAACATATGAATAAATTGCATAGCCATTGTATGACATTCGTTTCTTTTTTCATCTATATACTTTTGTTTACCCAGTAGTTCTTCGCTTAAGTGTATATCACTGTTTTTTTCTTTCCAGAAAAATGATAACAACTAACTGAATACAGTGACGTCACTATACTAAATGTAATATATAGATGAAAAACAGAAAAGTAGGTCAGATACGTCTTATATGCATGAAACCTATAACGTTAAGGAAAAGAAGGAAACGTGACATCACTCTATACAGACAACAGTCTTAATATATGTTACATATGTAACTTACCGTACATTGCAACGTGAGCACAAACTATATATAACGTGAATAAGAAAATAAAAGAAAAAAGAAAATCGCTATTTTTCGCAGCTCTATTGTAGGTAAGTATTAACAGAACAGTTATACTAACTAATAACAAATATTGGGATAAAAATATCACATGCAATCGATTGCTTCTTAGGTCATAATACAAACGTTACGAAGAGCTATTTTACTATTTTCCTTAATCATTCTCAGTATTAAAACTGCAACCGCAACTACAACATATGCTCCTTGTCAAGAACAAATTTGTAAGAATTTCTGCAAATATGGGTATGAAGTCAATGACAACGGATGTCAAACTTGCGCTTGTAAACTGACCCAATGTCCATTTGGTCAACCACCAGATGCTTCGATTCAAAACTGTGGTCGAGGAGGTCAACGCTGTTCGGTCAATTATACTTGTGTTATAGCCACCAATGACGCGTATGCAAAATGTTGTCGAAACATCGATACATGTGGTCCGTAGTGTCTTATATTCTGCGAATGTGGCTACCAGTATCAAGATAATGGATGTCCTAAATGCAAATGCAGACCATGTAATGCGACTACAAAAAAGCCTTGTCCACTATTTAAATGTAAAACGTGTCCGAAAAATTATTATTATGCAATAGACAANAATGGGTGTCAAACTTGTACATGCACGGATTGTCCACTCCGAAAATGTATTCCTTGCAAGGAAAATCAGTATTATTCTAAGGATCCAAATGGTTGTCAATCATGCGACTGCAGAGTTGTAACCGGTCTGAAAATACTTGACCGGTCCAGTCCAGCCAGTCACCAGCCGGTCTAAAAATATCTCCAGACCGGTAAAAACTGGCGAGTTCATCACGTTTTTTCAAGTAATAACATTGATATTAGGGACAAAATTTGTAGTGTGTAAATGTAATAGTCTGTCTCAAGTAGAGGTGTTAGCCGCCGATTTTGCGCCGCCGCCGCCGAGAAAATTTTGATTCGCCGTCGCTGAAAATAAAATGTCCAATGTATTCCAAAACATTTTTCGCCGCCGCCGCCGGCTAACACCTCTAGTCCCAAGCAGTCATTTGTCGAATGACGAAACGTCACGAATAATTTGAAAATAAATTTGGGAAGAGATTCACTATGTCAAATAACAAAGCCAATTAAGACGAATTTGGGTTAGGAA